ACTAAATGAAAAAGTGATGATTTGTAGATTTTTTGAAGTATATGACTGCAAAGATTTTTACCAAAATCACCGCATTTGAAATAAGTTTTCAGAAATATTTCCTTTTTTTAAGGTAAATAAAGACTTTTTGCAAATTAAGCTAACCTCACAACAGCTTCACTGATTTTACGTGTTGTTGAACACTTGGTTCCACTCAGTATATAGCATCCAAATAAAATATGGCAAGACTTAGTAACTATATACATCACCAATAAAGAAGTAAGTTAGAATTTTGTCATGGGACACCTGGGTGGCTCAGTCAGTTAAGCGTCTGCCTTCGGCTCAGGTCATGATCTCGGGGTCCTGGGGTCAAGCCCCACATGGGACTCCCTGCTTCTCCCTCTGACCCTCCCCCTGCTCGTGCTCTCTCACTCACTCTCTCTCAAATAAATAAAATCTTTAAAAAAAAATCCTGTCAAATAAGAATACTATGAAATTTTTTAAAAATTCTGTTCCTTTTGATCTATCAGCTATTGGGTGCTACCGGAGATCTTAAGGTCCCTAATTTGGTCTCCTGACCCTGTAGTTTTGGTCTTGAAACAACAGGACTGGAGGTTTGGCCCATTCTCCTAGGTCTCCATCAAAGCATTTCTATGTTAGTACTGGCTCGAGAAGCTTGAAAAATTAAGCTGGTGAGGAGAGGCAGAGCAGATGCCTTTCAACCCTACTTCAGCTACCTGTGCTTCAGGATGAGAGCAGTCTTACTTGTGTCGAGCAGAGGGTGGGACCCGGCTCCTTATGAATATACTCATTCCTACTTCTCGAACTCACTTTGACCGAAGGGAGAAAATTGGCTTTGCAGGTTGGCAAGATTTTGAAACTGATTTGATCACCCATGGTGGGCAAAAGGTCTTTCTCTTAATAAATCTGTTTCCATTGTGGTGTTCTTTTTAACTGAAACTTGGTCCTCCTCTGTAGCAGTTTTCTAAAGGCTCAAAGAAATGATCAACCCGCTTCAGATGAGGTTGCACTATACGTTATTTTTTTTAACAGCAACACTCTTGGCTCTTGGGGCCAGAGATGACTTTGTCGTGGGGCACTGTGACAACAAAAAAATGTCTCTAAACATTGCCCGATGTCCTCCATGAGAGGAGGGAGCAAAATCCCCTCCAGCTGAGAACCACTGACCTATACAGATATTTTCATTCATTCCTTGGAAGAGCAAGACAAGGCTGAGGATTAGAAGCAGAGAGATATGGTTGTGGTTGGGATCTAAGTTAGAGACTGATGGAAGATAGAGTAAAGCCATTGATGAAAATAAATCAGTAATACAATTTTGGATATTCACCTAAGGAATTTGGATTTTGTTTTTAGGCAACAGAGTATCATGAAAGGATTTTTAGAAAGAGAGTGATATCATCGGATTTTTGTGTAAAGAACATTTTCTTGATCTTAGAATGAGAGAGGATTGAAACGACAGTGGCTATCACAAAACTCTGACATGGTAACCATGTGAAATCCAGCCTCGGAGGTGGAAAGGAAGTGACAGCCCCGCCTGCTGATGGAGCTGACAGGGAGGCTCTCAGGACGTGTCATGCCCACCTCTTCTGTATGCTTTGAGTAGTTCTTTGGTTTCCATATCAACATCACCATGTGTGGCTTCCTTTGCAGGTTACCTTTTCAGGGTATTTTCACTTTATATATCCTGAGTTTGTTTGGTTTTTGGTCTTATTTGCCACAGGCTCTAGCACACACCACACCCTTCTTTGCCTGTTTCCTCTTCACATGGGTTTACGCGTTCAAAGGAACATCAGGGAATCTGATCTGCCAGCTCCAGGGCAGACCTAGCAGGGGAGCTTAGCCCCATTTGCATGAGTATCTTTTAAGTCTCCCAGAAAAATAATAGAACAAATTTAGGGTCTGGTGGTTAGATGCCATGCATTCAGAATTAATATTTTTTCAAGAGAAGGGGGCAGAGTCAGCAGCCTAGGTCCACCTCTCCATAGCTTGTTCCTGGTGGGCAGGAAATTCATCCAAACAGAAGAATAATCTATAGTGTAGAGCACTACCTGAGACACTGGTTGATTATGTGATAGACAAATCTACCTGTCGGCTCTTCTCTCACTCCACTTCTCTCTCGTTCCTTTTGATATTATCAACAGAACAAAGGTTTTGTTATATACTTGGAAAAAAATTTGTTCCTTTTGAAGCTTCATTACTTTATAAATTTTAGGACAATAGATGCAAACAGGGGAAAAAATTACACCATTTTGCTTTTGTTATTTATTTTCATGAACATTTAAATGGAAAGCTCATCAGATATCCAATACAGAAAAGAAAGAGGATCAGAAGAAATAACACAAATCTCCAACAACTAAAAGTTTGGTTAGTGGCGCCTGGGAGGCTCAGTCAGTTAAACGTCTGCCTTCAACTCAGGTCATGATCCCAGGGCCCTGGATCAAGCCCCACATCGGGCTCCCTGCTTCTCCCTCTCCCTCTGCTCCCCAAACCATGTTCATGCTCTCTCTCACTCTGTCTCTCTCTCTCAAATAAATAAAATATTTTTTAAAATGAAGTTTGATCAAATAATTTACAATAAATCCATAAAACGGAACACTAGGCAGTAAGTAAAGAGATTACATGGATCTAATTTGATTGGCAAGGCAATGTGTTTCCAATGCAGGGGGCAAAGTAGCATATGACATGGGGCTATGAGCAAACGCCAAAAAAGATTTCTTGAGACGTTTTTGGTGCAAAAAGGTGGTTTTATTTTAGCACGGGGACAGGACCCATGGGCAGGAAGAGGTGCACTTTTGCTGTGTGACGCTGGTGGTTATATGCTTCATGCTCAAGGGGGAGGGGAATTGCAGGGAGTATTAGATCACAGATGTCTTCTTCGAGTTTCTACTTGTAAAACTACTTTCGCAAGATTTCTCTGGAGTTTATCATTCAGCTGGGTATTAGCTATCAGTGAGATGTACAGACAGTCATGAGACCCTTTAAGAATGTAGCAGCCAGCAATATTTGATCCTTATCAGAACGATGCAGGCTATAGGTCAGCTTTCTGGGCTAAAGATGAACATTTTTCTGCCTCTGTCCCTCATCAATATATGTAATACTCACTCACGTAAAATTATAGATGTTTCTCTGCTTCATAACCTCCAGTACTTCCTCTCACCCCTTAATCCTCAAAACCCCTTATTGTTATTCCCTAGTTAATATTTGATGTCCCTGCCAGACCGTAAGCTCCATGAGAGCAGAACCCCATCTTTTAGCCCTGGCACCGAGACCAGTGTCTGGGATGTGATGAATGCCTTGAGCTAAGGAACTGAGCTTGTTCTCCATGATCCCTGCTTCCTTTCCAAACTGCTAACGAACGGTCCATCTGTCCTAGAATTTTGCCTAGGATCATTACCAGGCCTGTACGATTTACCACTTTCTAGTTTGTGATTCTTTGCATTCTTACTCATTTTGGTCCTCAGTTTGCATGGTCTCCCCCGTTAGATTGTTAGCCCTTCAGAGCCAGGGACTGGGTTCTGTTTTGCTCTTCCTGCAATGCCCAGGAAAATGTTCTGCTCAAAGTGAGGCCTTTTGAGTGACTGAATGATTGGACAAGTATAACCTCCTAAGAGAACAAATTAAGAATTGGAGTCACTATAATTTAATCACAGCCATAACCTCTCCCTTCCATGGGCCAGGCACTGTGGTTGGAGCTGTAGGTCAATCACTTCTTTTATTCAGCACAACAATCCTCTGAGGGAAATACCCATTTTACAGATGAGGCACCTGCGGCTTCAAGTCTCAGAGACTCACTCTTGGTCACGCACATAGGAAGAAAAGGCATCAAGATTGGAGCCAGTTATGGGGCACCTGGGTGGCTCAGTCATTAAGCGTCTGCCTTCAGCTCAGGTCATGGTCCCAGGGTCCTGGGATCGAGCCCCACATCGGGCTCCCTGCTCCGCGGGAGGCCTGCTTCTCCCTCTCCCACTCCCCCTGCTTGTGTTCCCTC